GAGCTCGACCGTGTGGAACTTGGCGCAGTACTGCTCTCTCCCTGTCCGTCCCGGTGACGAGGCCGTTGGGGGGGAGGGGGGTGGGGGGTGGGGGGTGGCGAGTGTTATAAGTTGGGGATGGGGGTGCTTCATGGCTTCATGGGAGGAGGAGGAGGAGGAGGAGGGGGAGGAGGAGAGACAGGGATAATAACAAGTTACATTCCATGGGGCTTGGGGGGCCTGCAGATATAGGAATGTCGAGGACTACCACCTAGCCAGGCTTGTCTCCGACACACTCAAGCCGCGGCTAAAAATCTTGATGCCATGCTAGCCCAAGCTCCCCGTTTGGTATACATGGGCATCGACTGTCGTGTATCCCAACTTGAGCCCCTCTTCAATTGGAACCACCTTAGTCTGTCTGACTGTCTGTCTGCCTGTCTGTCTGTCTCTCTCTGTCTGTCTCCCTCTCTCTCTCTCCCTCTCTCTCTCTCCCTCTCCCTCTCCCTCTCCCTCTCTGGGATTGTCATGTTTTACGACGAATCCGGGACATCTTGAACGTTCTACTTCAAGTACAATACAGCCTCCTTAACGAAGGGGGTGTCATCACGTGCTGACAGTACAGGGGAGAACTCTCCAAAAAACGCCAAGGGCCCATTCCAACCCCACGACTCTACAAAGCTTGGGACGCGCTACATATTGCGGTGCGGCGATGAAAGGAGCACATCCCACGCTTTGCACCGGTGCTGTCGATGTCGAGTGCTTGCCACTGACTGTCCGACAGGTCCGCCCTAAGCTGGGCTTGATAGAATCCCAGATGCCATCGCGTTTGGAGTTAAACCTTTCAGTTTGTACCGCTGTTCTTGGGGGGTATACCATCCCTTGGGGCCTAGAACAACACACAACAAACAATGACGTGCGACGTCAATTGCCAGGGAAGCCAGGCAGAAAAAACACACGGAAAAACAAAATACCCCGACCAGTAGTACATCCAACGCGCCGACGTACGTACCTATTTCGTGGGCGTGCGTGGAGATGACAACGATGAAGCCCGACGTGAAGCCGGCCATGATGTAACCGTCACCGAACCACCGGTACGATAGAATCTTGCCGTACCTCGTCTGAATCACAAGCAAAGCGACAAGGCAACACGAGAAGAGAGGGGGAAAAAACCCCGACCAAGCCCGCAAGAGGCAGGTAGGCAGGCAAGAAGACGGGGAGGGCAAGAAGGCAAAAATGAGATGGAGTCTTGTAGCATGTAGCATGTGCCCCAACAACCATAAAGCACAAAAGCACGCCGCGAACAACGTCAACAGCATAGCAGCAACAGCAGCAGCAGCAACAGCAGCAACAGCAACAGCAGCAGCCACAACAACGACAACAACTACCACAACGAACAAACAACAGCTAGGACACCACAACGCACCTGAAAGGCCAGCTCGAGGGCGTTCTCCTGATCGTGCAGGTTGTAGAGCAGGATGGTCCGGCCGTCCATGTTGACGCTCACGATGAACTCGTCCTGGTCCTGCTTGCCGCCGAAGGCCACGTCCAGCGGCCGACACTTCACCTTCACCTGCGATCCCCACAATGCACACACAAACACCCGCGCGAGCGCGTTTCATCTGCTGGGGCTGCTTCTGTCCTTATTCCGGAGAACAGCCTATAGTAGCCTCTCTCATATTGTCGGTGCCAGATCATGGTATTATAGCCTTTAGAAGCGCTTTCTGTTTTCAGCTGCACTTGAGACTGAAGCATTTTCATTGGTCAGCCGGTTAGCGCGAGGCGGTCGATGCCAAAAAAAAAATGGGTCATGGCCGTTTTCCGCGTGTAGCCACACCGAGACTCGCGTATTTATGGTTGGCCGGTTATGTAACGCGGTCAAGCAGAACAAACGCACGAACACACATACATTGGTCAGCCCATTAGCGCGGCCGATGCTCCAAAAACACACACACACACGGCGACAGGACGGCGACGCTAAGCACACCACACATCTACCATGTGCCCTACCCTACAGTATTCTACAGCAGTGCCCTACCTGGTCTTGGATCTGCCCGGTCTCGGAAGTGACCGATATCTGCTTGTCGTCGCTGCCGTACGCGAGCTGGTTCTGGTAGCTCCACGCGCCGCAGTTTATTCGCCGCTTGTGCTTGCCCGCCGCCCACATCTGTTGTCCCGCCACGGGAGCACGCGGTGTCACGAGCCAGGGCGATGATGATGGTGATGACAGAGAAATCACGCCAATATCCAGGAGGGGGGGAAGGTGGGCAAGAATATCAGGAAGAAGGTGTCAAAATATCAACATCAAGTGAAAAAAAAAAATAGCCTATGTGGTTGAGCGGGAGAGGGTGGGGGGTGGGGAGGTGGGGGGGTGGGGGTAGTAAGGGGGTATGTGTGTGTGCGCTATGCGGAGGCATATCAAACGTGGGGCAATCACACGCACTTTCGCAACGCCCCGCGATCAAATCTATCTTGTCAACTCAACTACGCAAGACAACCATGCCTCATGCAAGATAAGTATATGCCCGACGTAAGAAAACCATGCCACCATGCCATACGCAAGACAACCATGCCATACGCAAGGTGCTCATGCCTTTTCGTTGGTGCGGCGGTGATATATGCACATGGTCCCCTTCCCGGTGCCGAGGGCGAGGTAGTCCCCCGTCTTGGACCAGCTCACGAAAGTCACGTCCTGGAATTTTCAGCAGAAATCAGAAGAGAGAGAGAGAGAGAGAGAGAGAGAGAGAGAGAGAGAGAGAGAGAGAGAGAGAGAGAGAGAGAAATGGCGTGATGTGTGGCGCTCCGAGGTGTACTGCTCGATGGGCCAGTTCTCGATTTTGTGTCCTCTTCTTAGAGCTTGGAAAAAAAGGGGAAGAAATCTGTGCGACGAGAACGGTAAGCCAACAGGCGACCGCACGAAAAACGGGTCAGGGCTGGACGGGGCATCAAACAAGAAACACCTATTGTCGAGGAGCCTGCGTTTCTAGTCTTGGCAAGTGTTTTCTCGAACGTACTCAGAACAAGCTCAGTGTAACCATGCCGATGGTCCTAAACTTCTTGATAGATCCAGCAACCGTCGGTGCTGTAGTTCTGTGTGGTGGTACTACTCAATACAGACCCATAACATACGGTCAAAATAGAAAGTGTTCCGTAAAACACAGCAGCAGCTCTAAACCAAATCTTCGACCAGAGGGCGCGGTTCTTGCCACAGGATGGCGTGCTTCCTTCACGTTTGAGTTACCGACCTTGACTCCCACGTCGACAGCTCTCGTTTTCCACTGTCGGGTGAACCACAGCAGCACCACCGAAGAGTTAGCCTGGGCGATCGCTAGGGAAAGCCCGAGCGGGTCCCACTCCAGTGCAGTGCAGGCGCTGTCGTCGGTGGCGTTGTTGGTGATGGTTTGGTTTGGTTTGGTTTGGTGATTGAGCGAGAGAGAAACAGACAGAGAGAGACAGACAGAGAGTGAGTGAGAGAGAGACGGACAGACACAAATACGGAGAAAGCGACGGAGACAGAGACAAAGACGGACAGAGGGAACAGAGGAAAATAGCCGTTCAAGGGCAGAACACATAACGGGGACTCAGACGGGGCCAAGCCATCATCGACATGAACTTTAATGACCCTGGCTACCGTCTTCTCTCCGGCTACCGATGTCTCATGTAACTTGCTCCTGAGACATGAGAAAGGACGGCGACGGATTCGCTTGGTGAAGAAAGGAATAATCTGACATGAAAACACGGAAGCAGAGTTTCAGAAGCTGCACGAGGCCGGACGGCCAAAACCTCATGTTCATGGGGGGACGGCGAGTGAAAGGATCGTTTCCCTCCGAACCGACGTGCTGCTCTGCTGCAAACGTTAGGCCGGCGCAACGGTGCACGGGGGCGACACCTACGTAGTTGGCGTGGGCGATTTGTGCAGGCACCGCCGCCTCTTCTCTGCGGATGCCCCACACGAAGACAGCCGATGTTTGTACCACATCCACACATGCCTCTTTTCAGGCCGCGGCGTACATACGCGTGAAGAGCTATGCCAACCCGTCGACTACTGCTGCCTTGGCATCAAAGACGAAGGGAAAAAGAGTTGCCAACATACCATGGAATGCAAAAGAGCTACGCACAAACACACCGGACCATAAAGCATCGATACACAATCGTCCGCCTTGGGCCATACTGTTACGACCGTGGGCGCGCGGGTGTTTTCGCCCTCTTGTGCGATTGTTCTGTAAAACCGTATCGTTCTCGACTTTCTTTCGACCCCCGTATGCTGTTTGCATGACTCCTGTGTGCGCAACTGCTGTACCTCGGTACGGGTGTGATACCAATGAATATCGGAGTGAACTGCTGGCGGTTTGCAGTTGAAACACCAGGTGTTGCTGTATGGCTGCTGTACGGGTGCAATGGTGACAGCGAACGCACCGGCGGCACAATACTTTGTTGTAAACGCAATGACGCTTGCGCAGACTCCAAAAAACGTTGTAATTTTAGTGAACGAATCACAGCGGGTGGACTAGTACTGCTGGCACCTTTCCCCTTGTGCTACGCGGTGGCTGCCATGGTGCCATAAATACAGAGGCACAGCAGAGCTGACCCTCGGTTGCACTCAACCTCACTGCTGTCAAGCGGGGATTTCACCGCGTGGGGGCCATGTCCGATATGGGCCCAAACAACACATATCATGTCCTGCGGCAATATCCTTGCTGAACACCACGGTCGTCCAAGCGTCTACTTTCACCGGGGCTACCAGGCAGTGCGACACTCCATCCAGCACACACCTGGTGGTTGGCAGAGACTTGATGGTGTGGAGGAGCTGGCCGTGGCAGGTGAAGATGTGCACCATGCGGTTCGACCCCGAGGTGGCGAGCAGGGTGCCCTGCGGGTGCCACGCGAACACCACCGGTCCTTTTCCATGGTGCCGAGCGTCGACCACGAACAGGGGGTCCATTTCCTCCGGGCCTGGTGTCCTTGCCTCGCACCTCTCTCCCTGCCTCGCGGAGCTGTGTGCTGGGGCTGGCGCTCTCCCTGCTGGCTGCCTAACTCCCGAACCAAATCTACGTAGATGTGTGCCCCAGCCGCTGACCTTGACGTAGCCCCGTATGTCAAGAGACGTTTCCCCGGGACCCCCGCGTCCCGCGACCCGCACACTCACCACCCACCTGCCTCTGGTTTTCCGGCAAGCGTGTGTGATGTAGGCTGCACCTTTGACGGTATGCCGACACACCGCCGAACAAGAATCAGCAGAGTCTCGCAAGTCGCTATATCTCCGCCGCATCCTCCCCCAAAAAGCTTCTCCAGATGCTGAAAAACGCCGCCCAGAAGAGTATGTGGAAAACCGCTGAAACCGCCGCCACGACCAGACCCACCCTTGGATTCGAGTGAGCCGATAACAGCATGTGATGGTCACCACGCGAGGTGCCTTGTGCAGCCGGTGCCAACGCTACACAGAACTCCCTCATAGGGAGGTGGGGGCACTCTGCAGCACAAAGCGACGAGATTGTCACGGGAGTGCGGATATCAGCGTGGCCGTGAGCCGCTACCTGTACGTAGAACAGCATATCTTGAGCGGCAGAAGGATACGCGAGGAAAACCATGGGGCTGCTCCCATTGGAGCTTGACGGAGCTCCCTTCTCCGCCGAGGGTCTGAAGAGCACAAAGCGGGTGCGAGCTACATCGAACAATCAACATGACGACATGTCGGTGCCTACTAGAGAGGCTTCGATATTGTTGCATATTTCCTGCGGTTTCGAAGGATACCAGCAGTCAAGATCCGACGTCCAGCTAAATATTGCTGTTGGATACACGGCTGTACCTGCATGTCATCCCCTACGAATACATGATAATCCGAACAAGACCTTGTCGCGTGGTCATGCCAACCGTCGCAGACTAGGACGAAGCAACTTCACACTGACGCTGAAGAATTAGAGGTTCCACCGCCGGAGGGATACACCAGCAACTCCAACAAAGAGGTGTAGACTCATGCCAACGAGGACCCTACACAACGGATTTTCGTTCCAATTGCCGTAACCATGCACCTCTTTACGTGAGTGTTCTATGGCGCTGTACGTCCCTGTTCTACTTCCTCATAAACTTGTTGCTTGCGCGAAGGCAGTCCACTGTACGTCAGGTGGTAGGGTGACAGCGTGACAGCAATCAATGTAAACGGAACTTTATCCTCGCCCACACTAGTCTATGCTGCGCACCTACTGCAAGCGGTGTCCGTCCAACTCCGGGAATTTTTATCTAGCGACAATCCCACGTCTTGAGCATCGCACATGGTGTGAAGTGTTTCCTGTACAATCAGCTATGTGTGGAGAGAGGAAGACTTGATGACGTTCTGAATACAAAAGATGTGCGGGTGGCTTCTGCTGCCGAAAATTCTTCCTCGCCTCCTCCGGGAGGTTGTGTGCCAAAACCACCCGGAACATAATTTGATTTGATGCGCGTGTCCAGCCACCGGACACTTAGCTTGACGCCACTCCTCCCATAATGTAAGCATATCACGAACCCAAGCAAGTGAATGCCCTCTGGTTCTCGTTCAGGAGCTTTGCCTGGAGTACATCAACAACTTTCGAGTGCAGTTCGACAAGCTATACCCTTGTCGGCGACGGCTTTTCCTCACCGCCCCCAACGAGTACGGGGTGGAGAAGTTCGTGTGCACCACTCTCCGCCCGACTCTCCTGCCCTACCGGTAAGCACGCGTGCCTCGTCCCCGGACCCCCAATGATCATCTGAACGTACCAGTACGAGTAATATATTCGCTCATGGGACAGACAATCCCTGATCTAGCTCATCCTATCGAAACAGGGACTCCCATCAGGGACGGGACGGCAAGAATAAACACAGACTGCGTTCATGAAATTCCGTTTCACCCGTCGAATCCCGTTCTGACAACCTGCTCGCCAACTCCCAGAGACATTTACGACCTTGACAAGTGTTCCGAGTTCGTCACCAACTTCTTGCACTACGAGCCTCTCGAGAGGCCCACGGAACCACCAAGTTTCTTACCGTCTCCAGGACAGGCGAGTTGTGCATTTCTGTATCATTTTTCCGTTTGATCTTTTTCTTCCAGCTTCCCCTTCATCCAACTAGATAGACACAAACGGACGTCAATCAAGAAGGAAACCCGCCATCAAACGCCAGGGAGGTCTCCGCTCGGTATATCATCAGATAGGCAAACACTCCCTGCACTGTACCTTTTTGTGGGGTGTGTGAGGGCAGTTAACACGGTGGGGCTCAAGCACGGTGGGAGGAAGGCACTCAAACGATCGCTCTGGCTCGCGTAGAGGATCGATCGATCCAATCATGCCCCATTGCTCTGTTCGTCCTGTCGAGCGCATCCATCGTGTGTTGCAGATACCAATCCTCTTGTGTTGAGAACTTCGCCGCAAATTTACTCTGTGCTGTACGACCTGCCTCATTCCCATACGTACGTCTTGAGCATTAATACCGCGCAATTTAATGTGCCGAAAAACTGTTTTTTGGCATGCCAGGTTCTAGAATGGGCCGTCGGAGACTGCTTCGACTTCGCCATGGTGCTGTGCTCGCTTCTGCTGGGGGCAGGGTACGACGCCTACGTCGTGTACGGCACCGCGCCCGGGTACGCGTGTTCCGTTGACAACGTGTGCGTCTTTAGGGGTCCTTGCAGCCAGCCCCAAGGGTCGCGCGTGAGGCAACAATTTGCTCGTAACACGCAACATCTTCGGTCTCTTTCCATCACGCATTGCCGTAGTCGCCTTCGCCCGACTCATGGGCTGCATGCAAGCACCTCGACACACGCGTTTCAACGTGGGGGGCATGCACTCTGGTTGTGTTAAAAGTAGCCTTGACTGAGTTTCTGGTGCAGTCGTGGCGTCACTCTTCGGCTGTCGGTGTTGACCCTCGGCGTATGAAGAAACTTGGCCCAGACTTTTCTTCAAAATCCAGAGAGTGCGTTGCCATCAACATGTTACGTCTATCTGCTCGCAGCCCCAAGAGTCCCGCGAAGGTGGTTGAGCCAATCGGCAAGAGACCGAAGATGTTGTGAGAAAGTTATTGTTTGCCGCAATGGGAGGCTCGTTCACTGCCTGGCGGTGGAAACGGACAGTCAAGTTTAGTGCTAGAGGTCTGAGGAGGTCGAAAGTTGGAAGTGAGCCGTGTGGGTCTCTCTCTACCACCCTCGCCCTGTCTACGCGGTAAAATCTCTACGCTAGAACAACCAACCGACACACACACATGACACACGCGCTCACACGTGCTCCTTACGTGTTATCATGCACTCACCAACAACAGCAGTAGTCTAATTCCTTGGGCGCATCCTACAGTACATCAAACTTGTGCATATCCATACCTCTGTACGTGAAGATTTCATAGACGACACGTTGCATCGCGGGCGTGACCTAGTACTCTCTTTGCACATACATAGGCCCGCCACCCCGTATGGTGGGGGTAAAAGCCATCCTTCTCGGGGGGGAAAAACTCCCATGTGTTTTGCTGGGGGGGTGGGACCAGGTGACGATGTGACGGCTGCCAAGCCCGAAACACCCTTGCATGTGTTCATCTACATGTGTTTTGCCGGATCTCGGGCATCCGGTGTTTGTGGAGCTTTTCGTTGTGGTTGTCTGGAGCAGGTGTGTCATTGACTAGATTTCCATACCATCACCAATTTCCACGAACTTATCAAGGCTTATAACCCCTCTCCCCGTGCGCTCCGTCGTTCCACGGGTGTGCTGCGCTGTGTAGGTGGATCACCGTGCGCGACCGAACCAGGACAACCTGCCCGTACATCGCGTCGACGACGCCCCAAAAGGCTGGTCAAGAGGACCACGAGAACGGGATCGGCATGCCGCCTCCCCCGGCAGCGGGGGGTAAGGTACAGCGAGCGGTGGTGGGGGCTCCTCAAGGGTTCCGGTTGACTGATACCTCTGCCCGGTTTAGTGCCGGTGAAATCGCGGTCGACACGCACGGAATATTTCCTCTAGTATAGTTGTATCGGCATTGTCTATATAGTGATGGGTGCCTGGTGTAGCACGGATGAATGCCGCGGACACATGTCTGCACTGCTGGGAGACCTCCACCGTGTGCTGTGGTATCTCCGCTGGTGGATGTCTTCCTGCATTCAAAATGTTTCTCCGATCGTGTAGTGTTGTGACTGACTCGGGGGGGGGAATCGGTTGGTTGACTGTACCTCACTCGTATGTTGCAGAAGAGCTGCTGATGCGTGTGTTCGGCGATGATGTGGTGTGCATTTCTACTGACACGCATCGACCGCGCTTACGGGCTGGTCGATGGAATGCACGTCAAGTCGCATGGCGGGATAACGAACGCGAACACGCTCTCTGATACCTGGGCTCGGGGAACTGTGTGTGTTTATTGATCATTAAAATCCACCGCGCGCTAAAAGACAGCAGTCTCAGTGCGGCCTGAAAGCTCTTCTAAAGGCCATGGTCGTTGCGTGTGTGCGCATGTGAAAGCTCCTTTCGGCGCTCCAAGAGCATTCATGATCCATCCCTCTTGTGGTGTTTTTTTTTTTGTCTCCAAGAACGCGACGACACCACACGTATTGAATATTTGACCTGCGAGACAGCATCGCCCCTCTCGGACGTTTTTGTATGACATTTACACGACGCAAAACACGGCAGCAACTAGACGACAAAGAAAGCGGCAGCAAGCCAGCAGGCTCCCAGGGAGGCGGTGGCCACCCGGCGGGAGCGGGGGGCGGCGGCGGCGGCTCCGCCACCGCCACCACCACGAGCGACTCCCAACCGAAGTCGGCGCAGGGAGAAGGCGACGGGGACCCCGCGGACGCGGTGGCGGGGTCGTTGCCAGAGGGTGCTTCGGCAGACGATGCCGGCGGCGGCGGCACCGGGA